TCGGAGTTTTCTACCACTTCACCCGCGCTTAATCAATGAATTTCATTTAATAAAAGACGTTAAGAGAAATGCTTTATTTGTAAAACATACTTGATGATTATTCAATGATTTTTGTTGTTACTTTGACCGAAAAAATTGCCGATACGGTATCGGCGATACCTATGTACAGTTAACTAGTGTATGGAGTAGCAGATTTTTTATGCCTGAATAGTAATGTTATAATTAAGTAGCGGTAGAATTGAGTGGTGAAGCAACGTGATACTACATTTCCAACTCTGTCACAAACAACGTACATTTCCGAATCTGATCTTAAAAATAATTGTTTGCATATTATCGAGATTAGTTCGTTAATCATGTAACAGGATATGTCGAGTCTAAGTCGACATTTACAAAGTATAGGTTTTTGAATATGGGAATTCATAAATGATGCTGTTCAATGGGAAACTGGGCTGTTGAAACGGATCATGACTGAATTTACTCTGAAATAAAATGAGATAATGAAAGACAAAGGAAAACGAATTGATACCGTCGAAAAAGCATATTTAACTTAAAAGATTCGTTGTTTTATTCGGGGACGCGTTTCAGCAACAAAAATGCCTTCATCAGCCCGAGTACAGAAATTAACTTAACAGCTCAGGAAAAAAAGAATACTCTCACCTAAGAGTGGACAATTTCGAATGAGATCGAAAAAAGAAAATAAAAATTCGTTCTCGCGGCAGGTGAATGGAGCGCCAGAGAAAGCGAATTTTAAATGCTTCATTACAGAAATTTAACTTCAGCAAAGTTGACTTGCTTTTTCAAGCTAGGGTCGTTAAAATTAATTGAGAAGGCTTCACGCAAGATGCGATCTTTATAATAAGGTTGGTTTGAGATAACAGTCACCAATGTGTTTTTCATTTTGATCAGTGAATTTTCATTTTCTGTTTTCTATTTTCGATCTATTTAAAAAATCGATCTAAATAAAAAATCTTATTTTATACTAAAATTAACGGGTATAACGCGTTTCTCAAGTTCTCTTTCAAATGATTTTTGAAAAAAAAATTTTTAATTTTTCTTGCTCGAAAAAATTTCAAGCAATTTTGTTGGGACATTTTTCTTTAGGCTCTGTATCAAATTTCTGGACATTTTTAAGGAAAATGGGGGACAAAAAATGTCCAGAAATATCATAATTGACTGTATGGAAGAGGTTTCGGGAAAAACGACCGAAATATAAATCATTTTCAAAGGGTCAAATATGATAAATATTTCGATATGGCCTCATTTTAAAAAAGGCTTCATTTTAACAAGGCCTCATTTTATAAAGGCCTCATTTTAAAAATACCGCGATTGGCAGTCCTGACTGACTGATTTTTGAAAGATGCACATTGACGTTACAATTCTCCATGCTCAAAACATAGGAGATTTACAACGTAGATTGCGTAGGCGTCACTGGTTTGACGGAACTCTAAAAGAAGAGACACTAGAGTCAAATTTTAATTGGTTGATTAGCTATTTCACTCGAAAATCAGAATCAGTCAGTCAGAAATTCCAATCGCGGTATCTTTAGGTTTATAAATACTTGATTGCCCAAAAAAAAGATCAAAAGCTGATTTTTTCTGCGACCATCCTAGATATAATCCATTGCCCATATCATATGATTGATATGAACCCATGGGCCATATGATTCATATAATATCAGTATGCTTATCATTTTTTCTTGTTCATCAAAACTGAAATTTCATCTTTGATTCAAAAGATCGGGTACGGGAGTGTCTAGTTGAGTTTATAAAAAATAGCTGGGGACAATCGTTAAAAAAAATTACAGTGGATTGCGCAGGTAGTTGCCCCCTAAAGAGCGGGTGAAGGGTAAACCAATCCTGCAATCACTTTGAGCGAGTCAAGAAAGGAACAATAGAAACAGCGCGGGCAAAGGGGCAACCAAAGCTGCAATCGTAAAGGGGCAACCAACTGCGCAACCCACTGTAACGTGAAACGTGCCAAGTAGAATATAAAGTAATCTTGTATAATGCTAAAGATAATTTAAACAATTTATAAACAAATATAAACATAAATTAATATAAATATGTGACATCGTGTAGATAAATGTGAGTTTATTGCAGTTTGCTGAACGTTTTCGGTCGGTAGACCATCATCAGAGCTTGTTCCTTGATAAACTTGAAAAATCTTAAAGGAAAGCGTACCTTCTTTTCTTAGACTGCAGAACTGATTTAAAAACCAAAAATAACTTGTCCCAGACTAGTGTTCTAGAAAACGAAATGATAACTTTTTATGGTAATCGATCTTTTTATCAGAGGCTCCTTACCAGGTTCGAAAATGCCTCTGATCGGTAAAACAATTGAATATATTTAAATCTTATAATCCACCAGTCCTTTAAGGACAGTGCATTTAATCAAATTATATAAACTTGTTGATGTTGAATTTGTTTGTTCAACGGAGGATTATGAAGTCGAATTTCTAATGCTTCCATTTGTACTCTCTTTTTGTATGCTAAGTTTCGGTGTAAGACTGAAAACATTTTACTAAGATAGTCGAATCTAGATTTTAAATTGTTCTGCTCATATTCATCATTGAATCGAGTTTGGAAAATTTCACAGTTTTCAGTATGACAGAAAACAGCTGTTTGTTTGGACCTTTGTTGGTGGTCAATAATTCTAGATTTAAGGCATTCACTCTCACCGATGTAAACTGCGCCGCAGTGACATTCAAATCGGTAAACAGTATTAACAGCCATTATATTTTTTATTATTTATAGGAATTATTGAGTAAAAAGTGATTTTCTTAAATGAATCTGGAACGAAAATGAAAAAAATAAAAGAATATCCAATCGTGAGCTTGTTGAATTCTAACAAAGAAATACAGTGTATTTACTTGTAGCATCACATTGCGTTAACACGAAATTGTCGCCATCGCAATGCTTTGTTTTAATTAAACAGTCGGATTCCCCTACGGTTCTCAAGGTAGACTACGCGATGATGGACGAACTGAGCCAAGGGGCGCCGTCACCAAGTAAGACACTTTACTTAAGTAAAGTAAGATGTTTAATTCGAAACTCAAGAATCCTCGACTCTGGTTGCGAATCTGTTCTGGCGATGCTGTGGAGTGTGACTGACATGGATATCGATCGGTTCACCCTTCGACTTTATGCAGATTGGTTTTCCGGCGTACGCAACTCTTCCAAAGAGCCTGGACCCTGTATATCGCGATACATAAACGAAGCCGCTCGAGGTTTGCATTATTCTGGATAAACAGGAGCTATAACGGGTTTTTCTAGCGTGTAAACTTGGAGCTGCAAATGCTGGTGCATGCGTAAATTACGGACTCATTCCTGCTTGTTACAATATTCCAGAGAATTGGGACCGCGGACTGCCTGCCAAAATCAATTACAAGTAGTCTTTTAGAAAGACTCGTTTCAGCTTTTATATTGTAGTATTAACCTACAGTGAAAACCCATTTTAGGGCCGATTTTCGGATGACAGCGAATTTCAAAAGTGGCCTTCAATTGGATATTTTTCCCTCGAGTCGGATGACAACAAATTTTCATTCTTGGGATAAAAAATGATGAATGAGGGTTTTAGGGTTATCGCATATTTCTTTTGCTCAAAGAAAGTATAAATCATGGAATTTTTCCAAATGTGTCCTTTGATTTGAATTCAAGGTGATTCTTTTTTTCATTATCTCAAAAAAAATATTCGAAAAGCACGTCTGAAAAAAGATAAACATGACAAATGCTAAGAAAAAAGATATGAAAAGATTCTAGTGAAGACGTCAAAGAATAGTGACGTGAAAGTGACAATTACTGAGCTCTTTCGATAAAAAATGGTCTGTAAATTCGTCTGCGTGTTTATACACGCCTATATAATGATAGATTTGAACTCTTGGACTCAAATCTAAGTGAAAATTTAAAAAGGATCGAAAGAAATCATCGTGAATTAAAATAATCGAGAAAAAATCATCAAAGTGTACCGATGATTTTTGATGATTGCCCCGAAAACTAAAGCCCGAATTAGCGACACCAAGCGAGCAATTTTCTCCTTCTTTTTTGCCTGGAGGACCCCTCTTACTGAAAGAATTTAAAAATGAAAGAAGAATTATCTTTTCCGAGGAATTCTTCGATTAACTGAGTTCTGGTCACGTAAACAAAATCGTTTCGAGAAAAAAAATCACGTGCAACTTTGGTAGAACTCGGAGGACCACACCTGGTGGAAGATTTTGATAGAAGAAGACATTGTCTTCTTGGGGAATCATTTTCACAAACTATATTTTTGCTGCAAGGAAACATTAATTTTTCCTTTATTTTTATCATGTGACATCTTGGAGGACCCCGGAGGACCAACTTGATGGAAGAACACTTTGTAAAAAGAAAAAATAATTAGTATTTCAAAAACCATAATTTTCATTCGGGAAGAATAAACTGAAGTTAATTAAAAGATGGGTGTGGGTGGGGTTGGGGACAGAACTGAGACTGATCATCTCTATCCTATCTTCTAATCCCAGCCTTAGTCAAGCCCATTAAAATTTAAAAGCCAGGGAAGGGGTTCGACCAGTGTTTGAAAAAAGAATGTGCGCGGGCTGCGAGCGGGCGAGCGGGGCGCGGGCGGGCGCGCTCGTCCATCCGACCACCTGAAAATTTGACAAATTTTGCCCGCGCCCATCCGCCCATCAAAAAATCAAGCCTCATACTGCTCGCACGCGCACGTACCGCTCGTGCTCCCCGCTCGCCCGCCCTCCCCTCCCATGCTCGCCCCTCGCCCATGAGTGGATGTGAGCGGACCGGGTATTATCAAGGAAAACGGACTCATTTTACACAGAATGAGGACTTATTTTACCTAGAACGAGGACTTTTTTTACATAGGACGAGGACTTATTTTACATAGAACGAAGACTCTTTTAGATAGAGCAAAAAATTAAATTTCTGAGTATTTTTGATGCTCTTTTATTAATACAGTCAGGCTGATTTCAATTCACTGATTTTGTGAATTGAAGAAAATGTACAGGAAGAATCAAAGCACCTGATCTTCGACATTCGTGTTCTTGGCATTTGTTTGAAGAATCTTCAAGCAGACCTTTTTAAACTCGGCGGCAGTGACATATTGTCTGAGTTTTTTCGTCGTGACGATTTTGATTCGATTTCTTTTTGGATTCGCAGTGTATCCTGAGAGAGACGAAAACTCTCTCTCAATCTCACTTGAGGAGAGTGGGCACGACAGAACCTAAAATAAGAAAGTAAAAAAATGTTTAACTCGGATAAAATTACTTTTGTTGCCACTTTGGCAAGCCGAGGAAATCGTGAGATGATTCCTGGATCGGTCCAAAAATTTCTCATTGAGATCGAGGCAAAATGCATGTGTTCTTCTGTGACTTTTCCTTCAGAAGGGCGATAAAAATCATCGCGAGAGACGGTTGTTTGGTATTTTTTGATTTCTTTTTCGATACCTTATTACATATTGGTACTTGAAAGGGAAAAATTTGTTACCTTGAGTGATATCAAGTTCATTCGCTTCTTCAACGATGTCAAAGTCATCGACATGGTTTGCTCGCTGACTATCTCGAAGGAGAGGTTCATTTTGCGAGTCATCAGGCTCCATGAGTTTGTAAAGTTCTTCGCAGGCACTGACAGCGTGTCTTTCCCATTTGAGAACGGCTTTTGCAATATTTTTTCCGTTCTCTTTGTAGAAGACATCTTGAGAGGACAGCAAATGGTTTACAAGATTCGAGAAGCGAACCTTTTTGCATGGAGGATAAAGTAAATTTGCAACAAGATTCGCTTCAGTTGATCGACAAGGATCATTGCGAGAGAACTTCTCCCCGTTTTTGACGAATGATTCGAAGAACATGTTCGATATTTTGCTGAATGCCGCCTTGGAAAGTTTTGCCATATGAGCCTAGAGAAGGTTTCTGTTTGAGATCATCTCATTTTTTTTACCTTTGTGTCAGCGTCTGTAATTCCTTCTGTCATGGTGGAGAGTTTAATCATGAGCCGCTCAAGAAGTGGAAATCCATCAGGGAGTGCTGCGCTTGTAGATTCACAGGCGCGAATGAACTCAAGAAGAAGCGTTGCAACTCTCGCGAAGCTTTCAACATAACCCCAGGATGGCAGCTCACAGCCGTCGAGAAGGTAGTGGAATTTGTGGTCGGGTTTCGAGAGTTCGATAAGTTTTTCTTTCCAAAAATAGACGACTTTGTACTGCTCGCTCAGCAAATTCCATCTTATTCCGTTTGTGCTCTGAATAAGAATCAAAAAGCGTCTCTATGAAAAAACTAACCGGTATAAGTGGAAAGGTCTCTCGATTGGACTTTGGATCGAGCTCGCGCCATTTTTTCTTATCAGAGTCGGTCATCGTTTCCTTCCAAAAGAAATCTCTCAAGGATCTGGGAGCTTCCGGAGAAAGCTTCAATCGTCGTGCTGCTTCCGGAGTCAGCCTTTTCTTTTGAAAAAGCAGAAAATTAGCGAAGGACTCGTGAGTTGTCGGTTCCATTCCAAAGAACTCTTCGCTATATTCTTGAAGTTGTTGTCCAGCTCTGTTGAATCTGAAAATCGATATAGTATTTTTAATAAAAATGGATAAAAATTACGTGTGAGCGTAGCAAATAACTCCAAGATGTGAGATAGTAGAAACGACACAATCTTCGGCAGCATCCGCTACGAACGGAATCAGGGACACTTTGTGCTCAGGAACACCAATCTTCAGAAGAGCTTCGCTTTAAAAAGTTTTTAAGAGTCATAACTTCTCGATAAAACCTACGTTGTCATGTCGATCAAGACATCGGAACTCTGACTCTCTGTTGGATCATATCCAACTAGGTAGCTCTTTCGCTTCCGAGTGTCTGGATCTGTCGCCGACAACAATGTTCCATGCGCTTTATCCTCGAAATCTGAGGTTTTTTGTCCGAGATGTTTATCATCAGTTTCAGCGGAAACATGATTTGTTTCCAGGAGCTCTGAAATATATTAAAACCTTTTCGATTCTTTAAACTTCAACCTGGGATGTGTTCACGAAGAAACTGTTCCATTTCCTCTGATGATTTTTCGTATTCCTTTTTCGCGTAGTAAGCAGACGGTACGAGGCTATTGAATGATTCTTTAGAGGTGGCGCCCGCTTCAGATCCCTTCTCATAATAGAATTGGAGAAGTTCCTTTAGTGATTCACTAAATAACCAGTTTTTAAGAGAATTTTTAAAAGCCTTATCACCTCTCCAAGAATTTGATTGGAACTTGACATTTCGCTCCGACTTTAGCGAAATGCTTCGCAGCTTCGATCTTCTCCGATTTGTCGTGAAGTTTAGGTCGCTTCACAAAGTTAGCGATTCCAAGCTGTCCTGGAGTTACTCTCCGTCGCTCATCCCTTCGTTCCGGATTATGACATGAGTTTATATGTCGAACGACTTTAAATTTTGTTCGAATTTAAAAATAACTAGAATAAAACGTACCATTATAAAGCTTGAGGCTTTTCGATTCTGGGTACCAAGCTAGAATGGGCGCGTTGTCTGATGAGCAGGGGCCAGAGCAGACAATTTGCCCATTCCATTGTTCTTCTTGGATTACTTTCTTGAATTCCAGATGACTTTGCCAGTGCTTTACTTCTGTTATATCAGTAATGATTGCATCAAGATCCGGATAGGCACCCGGTGGGATGAGTTCGAGGCGATCATTCGGCGACAATTTTCTCTTTTTTGACATTTATTTCTCTTTCAACAAATTGATGTGAATCGGACAATCAGAATCGAAATAATGAGAAAAAGTCTTTTTGCTCATTCGAAAATATCGCATCTAGAGAAAACTTTTCTCTTATTCTCGAAAAGAGAAAAAACTCGCTTGTTTATTTCTTCATTTTCTATGTAAAAAGAGGCCCTTTTCAGTGTAAAATAAGTCCCATTTCTGTGTAAAATAAGTCCCTTTTCTGTGTAAAATAAGTCCTTTTTCTATGTAAAATATGTCCCTTTTCTGTGTAAAATAAGTCCTCAGTCTATGTAAATTACGTCCCAAGCACTTTCTCTTCGACTAAAAGTTTTTTCCAGATTTGATTATCATTTCGAGAATTGAAGTAGTCACTTTGACAAGATCAGAGAAATCAGACGTCAGAAGAAGACAAGAGAAAATGCCCCGCGCTGACAAAAAAGTCCGAATTCAATGGTAAAATTTTCACGAAAAAAAAGTGATAATAACTATTTTCAGCGGCGTAGGAAGCTGCGGAAAAAAGCTCCTGAGAGGCTCATTTGATCGACATTTCAAAGAAACGCACAAAGACTTGGACTACAAAAAGAGAAACGACTACATCAAGTTTCAGCTTGAAAAGATTCCACGCACTCTTATTGGCTACCGATCCGTAAAATTGGACGAAAAAGATTTCTTTAGCTCTAAAATCATGAAATTGTTTAAAGGTAATTTTTGTCATCTTTTCATTTAAATCAAAGCTTGAATCTAGACGGAAGCAGCAAACAGATAAAACTGCGCCAGATCAAAAAAGAAGAGAACAAAAAGCTTTTGAGAAAATACATCTTCTCCGCACGAAAAAGAGCTTTTGCTCGAAAAGATCGACAAAAGCTTCGTACCTACAATATATTCGCACATCGCTATTTCTATGAGGAACAATTGTATATTGATCCCATTTACGAAAAAGAGGATGGTTTTGAATGGTTATTCATATTTTACTTGCATTTATAAAACAATTTTTAGTGAGCTATTCACCGGCGATTGCAACGAAGACAAAATCAACGAGTGCCGACAATGCGAAAAAAGCGTCTGTTTGAATTGCTGGAAGAAGTCTTGTGCGCCAAATTTTACCTGTCCATTTTGCCGAAATCCCCATTTCTAAAGATAAAATTTTTAATTGATAAATAAATACAGCGAAAAACTGAAAAAAACGATTTCTATGGTAAGAATTAACCGCCCCGGGAGGGTGAGCGGGCGGGCGCGGGAGGGTGCCCGCGCACATCCGCCCATCCAAAAATCTGGCCTTTGCGTGCCCGCTCCCATCCGCCCTTCCAAAAAAATGGACCCTTCGCGCCCGCGCTCGTCCGACCATCCGATTCTCAGGCTTTTTTCAAACACTGGGTTCGACGCGGGCGGCGTGAGTTCGAGTCCCGCTACAGCATCATTCTTACCCATTCAGGCTCAAGTTATTTTGAAATTTTATCTAAGGTTTTAGAATTTCTACCTTCGACAAGCTTTAGATTTTTTGCGCAGATTCTTAAGAATTAAGAATAATTTCTTATTTATTCAATTTATTGTTTATTAAGTTTTTTTAATTTTTTTTATATTCAAGTTTAATTTTTATGACATCTTTCATATTATTACGTAATAACACCACCACTCAGACAAAACACCCCCATTTATCATTACTTTAATTGAGTGTGCTCTGAAGCAAAAGTAAGAAAGAGGTGAGGACTTTTTAGGCTAGCACAAGAGCACCCGCGTGCGGCAAAGGGCAGGTATCCATATATGGATACCTCGATTTTTTCGGGGCAATGCATTGAAATCATCGGTACCAAAAAAGAGAATTAAAAAGTATCACTCTTTACGAACTCTAGATAAAACACAAGACATCCCGCAGTCGAAAAATAGGGGCTGAGAGGACCCGGAATCAGCAGCCCCGGGCGACCTTAATTCGTCAAACTCGTCAGACTCGTCAGACTCGTCAATTTCGTCAAACAAAGGGTCCAAAATTATTTAAAAAAAAGAATTCGTCAAACTCGTCAGACTTGTTTTGATATATATTGATTCTAGAAATCTTTCCCTGAGTTCAATAAACAATCGGAGTTTTCTACCACTTCACCCGCGCTTAACCCTTTGCGTGACGATCAGAACTACCCCTATGCGTGACGCGGGTGCATTCAGTGCACCCGGCCCATCTAGAACATTTTTTCGCTCTTTTTTGCCATTTTCGAAGAAAACCAGCCCAAATTCGCTGTTGTTATTGTCTCCGAAACCGGGATACCCCCTTCTTCGGCGGCGAAAGGGGCTCAAAGTTACGTAACTTGCATCAAAATAGCTGTTCTCGAGACGAAAAATAGCAAAATTACGACATTTTTTACGTTTTGAGCTTACTAGAGAAGATTTTTTCAAAATGTTACGATGCAGGTTGGACGTGTTTCTTGACGGTGATTCTTATTCTTTTTAAATTTTTGAATTCAGGCGAAAATTGATAGAGAAATGGACAAAGAACCTTGAGCGGGTGCACTAAGTGCACCCGCGTCACGCATAGGGTTAATCAATGAATTTCATTGAATGAAAGACGTTCAGAGAAAAGCTTTATTTGTAAAACATACTTGATGATTATTCAATGATTTTTGTTGTTACTTTGACCGAAAAAATTGCCGATACCTATGTACACTATGTATACTACGTATACTAAACAATAGTATAGAAAATCGAAATTCGAAGAAATGTCTTCAAGATCTACTTTAATGAGCCTGCTGAATATATCTTTCCTGGACATAACATTGATCTCTTTTTTTTAGAAAAATTATCAATATCAGCATCAAAATAACAACACTGTCACGAAAGGTGTTTCCTTACACCGACCATATCCTTACACCGACCAAATCCTTACACCGACCAAAATCCTTACACCGACCATTTTCAGAGTTTGGTCGATGTAAGGAATTGGTCGGTGTAAGAATTTGGTCGGTGTAAGGAAATCCGTAACGAAATATTTTCTCAGACATAAAATGAGAGAGTGGTCGCAGAGAACTTATTAGTCGACCCCCCACTGAGCAAAATTTTTCGGAAATTTTTTTTTTCTCTTTTGATGATGGAAAGTTGGAGGCATTACATAATTATATTATTAAATAATTGAAGGCAATAAAGCGGATCTGATGTCCAAAAATCGAAATAATTCTGAAAATGGCTGTTCAGCCAAAAACTCTCGCGGCCACCTTACAAAAATTTTTGCAACGTCCCCGCCCTACACCGGTTGTAGGTGGTCATGTGGGTACCGGTACCCCTGTTCGCTCACTGTCTTGAATGTGGGTACCAGTACCCACGATAGTTCTCTTCACTGAGCGTGGGTACCGGTACCCACGGTCACTTTTGTTGGCTAACGTGGGTACCCTTTTTCGTCAATATATTTTCTAGAAAGAAAAATCATGATTGTGTTTATACCGATAGAAGGCTTTTCCCCATTTAAAATCGGTCGTAGAGAAAGAATCTCATATCAAAAACGGTTTAAGCGACAGATGAACAAAAACAAATGGAGGAGTGTCCGCTCCGCGGATGGATTATAAGAAAACTCATGCCTTGGTCAAGCCACATTTTTGCAGTTTTCTCATTTCTAGAGCTGATTTATTTTCGAAAAGCTTGGTACCCACGTTAGCCGAGAATGCTGAACGTGGGTACCGGTACCCACGTTCGAAGAGAGAGTCGAATGTGGGTATGGTACCCACATGACCGCATACCACCCCTACACCCTCACAAAGATGCTCTAAATGCGGAGGTTTGAGTCTTGAAACGGCCTTTTTCAGCATTATTGCGATTTTCGGTCTTCAGACCCGCCTTAAATAAATTACCCCAACTCTCCATAATAAATAGAAAAAAAAATTCTCCGAAAATTTCCGCTTGGTGGGGGTCGACTAAAAACTTTTTCTGTGACCACTCTTTCAGTTTTCGTCTTTGAAAATATTTTGTCGCAAATTTCCTTACACCGACCAAATCCTTACACCGACCAAAATCCTTACACCGACCATTTTCAGAATTGGGTCGGTGTAAGGAATTGGTCGGTGTAAGGATTTGGTCGGTGTAAGGATATGGTCGGTGTAAGGAAACACCGTCACGAAATTCTAAAAACCTGAATTCGTCAAACTCGTTAGACTTGTCAAATGATCTGACGAGTCTGACGAGTTTGACGAATTTAGGCTCAACCGAATAATATAAGTTTTTTCAAGTGACATTGCAACTTTCAGATATTGAATAGAAGTTGAAAGAAAGTGGCCTTAAAATGGATTTTTGTGGATGACAGATTTTGGTGATTTTCCGAAAAAGTGGCCTTAAAAGGGCCGGCCTTAAAATGGGTTCTCACTGTAGTTATCCAGGCAACTTCTGTAGTAGCTTTATTGTTCAGTTAATGTTTTCTAATGCTTTTCAATTTTAATTTAAGTCCGATATCGCTCGGAACTATCATTCTAAACTCCCAACTTCTTCATTCTTCTCTGTTCTCTCTAACACTCACTGTACTTGGCCACATTCCTTTATTTACTGTACTGCCGAACATGCACGAAATTTTCAATATATTATATATACTTGCCTCAAAAATTGATTCTTTTTCATCCACAGAATGTGATTTAAAACAAGAAAATGAGTTTGCGACAAAAAATGTTGCCAAAGTCGGGCCTTATTCGAAATGATTTATACGCAGTTTGCTTCTTGCTCCTGCTCTACTTTCTCCAGGGCGTTCCTTTAGGTCTCGGCGCGTCTATCCCCCTTCTCCTGCAAAAGGCGGGCGTGACCTATGCGCAGCAAGCCGTTTTCACCTTTGCGGGTTATCCCTTTTCTTTCAAATTTCTCTGGGCAGGCTTGGTCGATTCGGTTTATTTTTACCGCATTGGGCGGCGCAAATCCTGGCTTTTTCCAGTCCAGCTCCTGATCGGCACTTTTCTCCTCTTCCTCTCTGCAAGAATCGATTCTGTTATGGAAAACAAGCAGGTCGTTCCACTGGCGGTTTGTTTCTTCATTCTCAACTTTCTCGTCGCCACCCAAGACATCGTCGTAGACGGGTGGGCGCTGACCCTTCGTTCTCGCAAAAACGCCGGCGCTGCGGCGAACTGCAACGCTGCTGGACAAACACTAGGCGCTTTCTTCGGGTACGGATTTTTCATGGCTCTTTCTGACGCCGATTTTGTTAACAAATGCCTTCGCTCAGCGGAAAACAGGTAGGCTACAATTGATTTTACTTCCCCTTGCAACCAGCCCTTTTTATCAGTCTTAATTTAACCACTTTCAAAGCTCTCCTCTTCCTCTCGTCACGACTGCCGGTTACTTCGCGTTTTGGGGAGCCTGTTTTATCATTCTAACTGTGTTGATTGCCGCGCTCAAGTCGGAAAAGGACGACGAGTCCTTGAAACCGCCACCTTTGAAAGAGACTTACAAGACGATGCTGGCCATCTTTAAGCTCCACTCAGTTAGAACGCTCATTCTGCTGTGGTTCACTTGCAAATCGGCTCGGCGGTAGCTGGCGAAGCAAGCATGCTCAAACTCATCGAAAGGGGACTTTCTCGTTCTACTCTTGCCCTGCTCAGTTCCTACTTGGGTCAGGGCTGCACAATTGGATTGGAATCCAATTGGTTTCCAATTCAATTGGATTGGATTGGTAAATTGGTTGGAAAAAAGGCGGGAAAATCAGGGTCTGTCCAATTGGACAGCCCTTCCAATTGGAAAATGGGAGTCCAATTGGCACCTGGTCGCCAATTGGTAAATTGACAAAATGATTGGATCGAAGCACGAAAAAAACTGTATTTATTTTTTATAAAATGATGCTCGAAAACGAACAGGAAAAACAACAAAAGAAAAGAGGTCTTACTTTTATTCATATCTTTCTGTCATCTTTAAACAAATAAAAAAAATGAGACAATATCTTTGAACCGAATTCCGTAATCTTCTTTGACCAGAGTTTCGCTTATCTTTTTGAACCAGAATTTTTGTGGTTGATGCATATGATTTATTTACAATAAAGATTTCCTATTTGTAATCATAGACAATCTTTGCACCAGTTTTTCCAGAAATAAATAAAAGCAGCGATCTACAGTCGAAAAAAGTCAAAAATAAAGTGAGTACAGTGATCAGTGGTGAGATTCTTCCCGAAAAACTTATTGCGTATCCGTTCCGGATTCTTTTGAGCGGCTTGTCTGGGGCTGGAAAAACTTTTGCCGCAAAACAAATTCTTCTCCGGAGAGATATATTTCAAAAGAAAACAATAAGAGTTATTAACTATTATCAATGCTTCTTGGAAGAGAAGCCAGTGGACTGGGAAGATCTAACAATACCAGTGAGTTAAAGAGTTGGTCTTCCGTCGCAAGAAAAAATAGATTCGATGAGTACTCATACTACTATTGTATTAGATGATATTTATGAAGAAGCAATCCAAAGTCAAGCCATCGACCACCTTTTCCGAGTAACGGGGGTTCTATCAATAAAAGAATTTGTGCGCAAGCTGGACTTGGGCGTAAAAAAACACTCAAAACTATTTGAATATAATTTTATTTAATAAAAAATATTATTAAAAATACTCGACGTCAGGTTGAGCCGGTTCTTCTTGATTCTCACGAGCATTACATGCTCCACACCCGGAGTAAAGTCGTTGATTTCGATGCTCTTCGGCGTCATATGACGGTTTCGATCGCGCATAGTTTTTATTAATTTTCTCTTCTTTCTAGACTTTTGTTATTGTAATAATAATTGAGAAAGCGATAACCTGTCATCTTTTGTCTTTAAAATGGCTGCGTCCATGAACATTTTGAGCTTTTGAGACCATTTTAGTTCCAAAATCGGAAGAATTGTATAGTTAGGCTCAGGGTGAGCACTGTGCTTGCCTCTGTATCGGAATCGTATGGAAATGCGCAGTCTTGGGCCCCAGATTACTTGATGAAAAGTATCTAGAAATGATTTTTTTTTATAAATTGAAGTGAGAAAAATACTGATGATGTAGTCCGAAACATGGAAAAGCGAGTCGTATTGAGAGCCTTTTAGAATAATCTCAATATTATTATGAATAATTTCCCACTGACGCTTAGGATTATTCGTCATCATCATCGTGTAATGTTTTTTCAAAAAAATGATCCTTTTTACAAGATTTATAAATCATAAACGTTAATTAATACCTTGATATTCTCAATATGGTAACGCCAACCATCAATATACAGGCTTTAGCATTCCAGGTAGATAACATCAATCTGATTGCGGTCTTTTCTCGGCATTTTTCACTTTTAAACTAATAATTTTTGATTTCTACCTCAGAATGTTTATAAATGCTCTAGAAAAAATTTCTTATTTTGAAAGATAGGGCAGGAATCGCTGTGAAATTGACTGCCCCTTTATTGTGCCCATTTTTTGGGCAGGAATCGCTGTAAAATTGACTGCTCCTATTCTAGAGCCCATTTTTGCGGGCAGGAATTTCTGCAAAATTTACTGCCCCTATTCTAGTGCCCATTTTTGAAGGCATAAATTTAAGCTCATGATTTTTTCAATGTGTTTTTTTTATTAAGTACGATTCAGAATATTCAATTAGAAAGAATACGGAAAATCGTTTTTGAAGCAGACTTTTCGGAGGAGGTCGAGGAAGTCGTCGGCCGTAGTTCGCTGACGGTAGAGCTCAACTGTTTGAGCCTTAAGGGATCCCCCGATTTGGCCATCTTTGACTCGAAATTCAGTCGATTTGGGCTTATGTATCGGGACGTTCAATAGCTCTTCTGAATGCTGGCGTGCTATCCGCTATTCTCTAGTACAGAGAAATATTTTGCTCAAGGCAAACCTACCTCTAGCAGGCGCCAAAGTTCAAGAAATTCGAAAAAACGCCATTTTTGGCCATTTTTGAACAGAAATTCAGCCGATTCGGGCTTAGATAGACTCGATCTGAGATAAGATTTAGGTAGAATAGAGCTTAATCTTCAATCTCTAGTATAGAGAGCCCATTTGGTCAAGTAATAAAAAATATTTCTTTAGAACAAACATCTGTAGCCATTTTTTGGCGTTTTTTGGTCTTTCATTGCTCTCTAGCGCCAACAAATGGGCAAAAATTCCTAATGCGGTTATTATATTCTTAATCGGAAGATTCTGAGCTTTCGAAAGACCCCTTATATGGGTTATTTAGATGACATTAAAAATACGAAAAAAATCCGATTTTCACGCCAAGTAAAATTTATATGCATTTTTGCAATTTTTAAGGCCAAAATCTAGGTGATAGATATTCGTAAGGGGGTCATGTGACACATCAAAATGATCCTCAGAAAACGAGGAATCTAAAAATATCAAACATACACCCTTATCAAAGAGTTGAAAAAACAGGGGGATCCCTTAAGTCGCGGTTTATTCTTTCCCAAGTCTGCTGTTGCCTCTGCAAAGACTCTTTCGATTGATGAAGAGCTCGATGGGCAGTTAAGACTGCCCAAATTTCTTAAACTTACTGCGGTCTTTTTTGGGCTTCCCTTTCGCGATGCCACGGTAAGATGATCGATTCGGACAGTTCTCTGCAGTACAGTGAATATTTCCAGTAAATTGCGAACTGGCAATGACGTATTCTCCCTCGAAACAAGCCATCCCGAGAAAAGCAGGATCTCTCTGAAATTCCTCTCTTAGCGACTCAGCCTGATTTCTGATCAGTCGCCATTCCTTTTGCGGTCCGGGATTTTCGACCTCAATAACTTCCTCGTCGTCCTCTGGTCGCGGACGTTTCCGCGGAAGGAAAATATCAGAAATTGATTTTTTAAACATTTTCTCTTTTTTTTGAGAAAGCAAGTCTGAGGAAAATAAAGCAGTTTGTTGTTGGGCTCTCTTCAAATTTTCCCTTTTCACCCCTTTGATGATTCATGAATCAGTTCATGGCAAAATGCAGCGCCCAAATGAGAGCGCTTATCGAAAATTCCTATCATCCGCCCCAAAAACAAATCATTCAAGGAGAATTTGCTAGTGCTTCATTTTCTCGTGCCACGGCACCGTGCCGTGTCCAAATCTGTACTCCCTGAAAGGAGCGGCACGGCACGGGTGTCCGTGCCGCGGTGCCGTGCCGTGCCGTGCCGTTGACCTTTCCCCACCCTGGTTAAAGAGCGATTTCCTCGAAGAAGAATTATCGCCGACACAAAGTTTAAAATCTTTATGGGTGATCTCATAGTCTATAAAATAATTTTCTTATAGTAACAATGTCTATATTCTTTTTATAATCGACTGTTTTTCTCGCTTTTTCTGGACACGACCTCTAAAACGAAAGAAAAAATTGATGTTGCAAAGGCTCTCAATGATAAATTTCAAGATTTACCTGAATGGCCAAATTCTCTAATAACTGACGAAGAGTTAGAGTTCTACAACTCTTATGTGAAAAAGATTCTTGATCGTTATGGACTCCATCATTACAGTATCAAAACAAAGATGAAAGCAAGCATAGCGGAGCGTGCAATCCAAACCATACAGAAAAGACTTCAGCTTTATATGAAGACCAACAAACCAAAAATTGTATTGATGCGCTGCCTCAAATTATCAAAGGGTATAAGTTATACCGTATAACTTTACACCACACCGCTCGATTGGAATGGCGTCTAGGCAAGTGACGCAAGAAAACAGAGCAAGGGTCTTCGCTAACCTCTATCCAGATATCGAGTCGATATTATCGACTTGAAATTGAAACCAAGGCTTAAAATTGGAAACGTTATTCGAAAGAAAATTGAAAAAGACATATTTGAGAAGGGTTATACGGAAAATTGGTCTGAAGAGATTTACGTCGTTGCAGATACTCGCCAGCGTGCTGGAATTGTTTGGTACAAAATCGCAGACGAAGAAGGAAAACGTCAGCCGGGTATCAAATATTACTTTGAGTTGAATTATGTCTGCGAAAATATTCAATCTCTACGGGACATAAAAAAAAGAGTTAAAAGTGCCTGAAATTTTCTTTGATAAAAACGCCGACTATTGTGTTCAAATTATTGACATTGGTTGCAATCTCATGACAACACCTAGAGACTTTGACGCTGTTTTCATAAAATGTACATTAATCGCTTCGTGCTATTGACTTCCGAATACACTCATGATTGGTCAAATACGCAAAAGCGATAGGTGGTGTCATTTCCCAGATCAACGCTTCCTTCTTTGATTTCCGATCAACATGTGGGACTCGACAGACTGTACTTATTCGATCACCACTTTATTATGTAACTTCCGTGCATTCACCATTTCCATATTTGGAAATCTATCTTTCTTCTCTCACACCTGCCGCTAAACGTCAGCTACTCGAGTAAAAGAGCCGGCATTCTCAACTTACCGACTTAACAATAAAGTCCCAGCTCAAAGTAACTAGAGTGTTATTTATTGTACGCAGTTCGCTGATCCCACATATTGGTACCAGTTCGTTTCCGATACCAATCCACGTCTGTGTTCCGATTGGCCGAGAGATTCGTCATCCTGAAAACCACGTAACAAAATCCCGCCAGGGTCACCCTTTCAGAGAAATTAAAAAAGGGTGAGAGAGAAAGGTACGAGAATCCGTTGTCATTGCCAGAACTAAAATTGATTCCTACTTCGCAACGCTATCATGGGAAGAGCTCAAGAATTAGCCAAAGAAATTGAAATCTACGAAAAACTCCTCGATTGTGACGAGGTGAAGTCCGACGCAACGAAAAAAGATGACATCGAGAAAAAAATATAATCGCTGCGAGGGAAGTTAATCGAATCAGCAAAAGACCTCGACGGCGGAGACTTCTCCAAGAAGGACCAGAGCGATTTAAGCTCTATCAGGACGCAGCTGGGCGACGTCCCTATTTTCGAAGGTGGCTCCTTTGAGAGCACTAATACATTTATCGCGCGCTGCCAGAAGGTATTTGACTTGAGCGTAAAACCCAACATGAAACTCGAAAAAGAATTCATTATTGACGTCAAATCGCGATGCTCCGTACATGTGACTCATCGAATGGGAAACGGGCACAAATCTTAGGAGGAGCTCAAGAAGGAAATTTTCGCGAATTTCAGTGGAGGAATTACGGCGATACAAAGTCTACAGCGGGCACTCAATACGCCTAGGGACCGAACGCAAATCCGACCATTTTTAAAATTCCTCGAAAAAAAAATTTAGTATATAAAATCGATCCTTCTGATCATTTTCTTCCATTACAATAAAGGCTGAAAATGGCTCAATTACTGATAAACGACGAATTTTTTTTAATCGATAGGGGCGCTGTTGCGCCGCCAAGCTTTGAAGGCCTTTGTTCTAAGTTTTGCGCGGCCGGCTTTTATTGCGCTTATTCTTCTGGCACCTTCTCGAATTCAATAAAATGATTAATTCTTTTTTGAATTTTCATTAAAAATAATCTTTAAATCTTGCTTTTTTTTGCTAAATTTGAGATTCTTGCATATAATATCCTGCCTTCCAGTAAATTTTCAATATTTGTCTTCCTTTTTTTAATTCAATTTTTTTATTTTTCGAGTTTGAAAAGTGATTGAAACTTTTTGGGAATTTGGACAAATTGGAGAATGGAACTTTTGCAGATTCAAAAGAAGGACAAGAACTTCATCTTGGAGCTCAGTTGCTGGAGGTTACTTTGCTGTTGGTCTGGTTGAGATTTTCGATGAACTGGCGCGTCTTGGTGTTCTGGAGCAGGAAGTACTCCAGTTGGTGGAAGGAGCCTAAATGAAGATTCGTTTCAGCTTGAGTTAATTGATTCAGTGAATATGGGTTGTGCATCTATCGCTTACCGGTGAAGGATAAAAGACCCTCGCAACTTGGATTCGTCGGATGTGTCTTTTTAAATATCATTGCCTAATAAAGATTAACATATATAACATGTATTAAATTGAAATTGAAATTAATATTAATTTATATAAATTTCGATTGGATTTGAAAACAAGCTAACGCCCAGTTAGCATAGTACGGGGGCTTACTTATGGCGCATAGTAGTTTAGCCTATAAAAAAGTATATGTGCATTAAGCCTTAATGATTAAGGATACACCCGATAAAATGAACTTTCATAGTGCCTAAATACGAAGTTGGATCAAATTTATCTCAATAGCAATCCTACCTAAAATTGTGCGTAGAATTCAATTCTTGTACTTTTTTAAAAGTCTTCATTTGAATTTTTCCTCTAGAGCGATTTGAAAACGAACTCTATTGTAAACTGTATTGTTATGAGTCATAACTTATGACGCTAAGCTACAAAAATTGATGGGATGACATTCTAAAACTCGCCTGAATTTTCATTTTAGTGTTCTCCTCTTTCAGACCCCTGTTTTTCTTCTCTGCGCGTTTTTGCGTGCTACTAATCAGAGCGGTGCGATCAACTACGAAAATTCTTTTGGAAAAGAGGAGTCGAGTGAGGAAGCACCCAGCGCGCCGCTTTGTAGAGATTTTACGCGCTGAGTAGCCCTCAATGAAATGGCTCTAGAATCGGTTTCCTTCGGTTTCAACGAAAAGTAAACCATCGAAATTGTAGATAAAGTTCTAAAAAACTTTACTATCGAAAAATCTCGACCGATTTATACAAAAAATTTCGAGTAATCGAGAGAGTAAGATTTAAAATCGCTCTAAAGAGAAAAATTCAAATGAGAAAATATAAAGAAGTACCAGATGTGAGTTCTACGTGCATTTATAGGTCGAATGAGACTCTGAAAACTCCGATTTGAAAAGCCAAAAAAGCAGCCCCCCACTAAGCTAACTCCGGTGGAAGATCGTAAAATCTAAAGCAGAGCATTCTAGGTTGATCCTTAGCTCTGCTTTAGAAAGACCAAAAAATGGACGAACGGTGGGATTCCACATCGGGCTGTTCCCTTACGGCTATCTCCTGACCCATTTTTATTTTCATTTTTAAGTCAGGAGAATGCCGCAGGGTTTCATCTTATCAAGATACGATACCTGCCGAGTGACCACCACCCCCGTTTGAAGGACCCATCCGTCAACAATTTTCCTCAAAAAATCGAAAATTTCAAAACAGCCATCTTTTCGCTTCTTAATGTGCCTGGAAGTTCAGTCATCATAAAAACTTGTCGTGAGCAATATTTGACGACTATGAATCTTAAATTTTAGCAAAATTTGGACTTTTTCGTCATTTTTGTCCCTATTATCGATCTCACTGGTGGAGTAAGACGCTCGGGCCCGTCGATATTTATGCATCCTGTAAAGAGATCATTTATTTTTGCATTGTCCTATATTTTTGAGAATTCTTAATTTTCTTTTTTGAAAGATAACTTTTATATAGAATAGAAGATCCGGTTCCTGCATCCATTTTCAGACATTTTTTTCCGGAAGATTTTGACCTCATCGCGTTTTTGATATTTTCACGCCAGTGTTTGACGCGAGATTCGGCTGCTTTATCTTCTACAGTCATCTTGGCAAATTTTGGCCATTGCTTTCTTGCCTGGCCACAGAAATGCCAATTCATTGTGCACTCGTGATGACTCATTCTTCCACCACTAAGTTCACGCCATTGATTTTGCTTTATTTTATTTTGGCGGCTCGAATCCACACTCCTCATTTTTTTATTTTCGTTTGTCTTAATATAAAGTTCAATTTTTTTACTTATAAAATAACCAGACCCATAAACCCTTATGGGCAAGAAGAGTTTTTTTCTGCATAGATCTTCCTTCATGCGCTGTCGCTCTTTGTAATGACTCTCGAGAGTAAGATTATGAGGATCGACCGCTCCAGATCGAAGTAGCGAGGCGATTTCGAAAAAGCCGGCTCCAGAATATGCAACAATCTTGATGCGTTTATTGCCAGTAACAAGGGCTGGATTCGTTGCAATATATTTTCCCTAGTAAATGATGAAAAAAATTTCTTTTTAATCTTCACAAACCCAACTGTCGGTGATAACAACAACATCACAATTTCGGAAACAAGGACGTTGCCACTTCGATTTGTTGTTAGCGGAAAAAGCTACCGAGTTCATTCTGTAAAAAAAAAAAGATATGAGTGAGATAACCGAATGGATAAGCAACCGACAAATTCATAGTATAAGTAGAAAATATGAGTTACTCTGAAGGGAGAATAACATTAAATTGATATTTTCGACAGATTCTATTTATGAGGAAAAATTTCGTGGCAGTTTTGATTCAATATCGGACAATTTTTTCAATTTAGCAGAAATTTTTGAAGCTAGAACATTTTCAGTGTGCCTTTTTCGTGAAGATCGAGCTTTCAATAATAATTTTGCTCCATCAGCGGGTGTTAAATCGTCAATGTAATCATGAAGAGATTTCTCTCTCATCTCGACGAAAGACATACGAATGGTTCCTCCGGGTAATCCGAGTGACTTAATAGTCCAATTTCATTCTTTGCATCTGTTTTGAGGAGATGCTGCTCAATTGATTTGCTGTTGTGCAAATGTACAGCGCTATATTTCGCATCTGAAATGTTAGGCCTACAGTCGTTCGACCAGGGATTTGCTATAGAGCATTGAAGCTCCGTTTCGCCTTCTGTAAGAATTTTGGAACGTTTTTTGTGGAGAAAAACGTTTAGTTCTGGGATGCCGTTTTGATCATAGATTTCTAGGTTGAGCTGAAGCAAGCGAGCTTTTGATTTTTTGTCCAAGGCATCGTATATGCGGTGAATATTGTTAGAGTAAAAACTGTAGAGATGGTTTGTCCTTAAATTGACGGAGCGCATGCAAATGTCAACTAGTCTGAGTAGCGTGTTAAACACTAGTATAAGGATCTCGTCTATAATCGCCGGAATCTAAATTTAAGTGTTAATAAAAAAACATGATGAATTGTAAATAAAATTATTGAAAACGACGCGAAAAAGAAAATTTAAAGCAGACATGATATTAAATAAACGCAAAGAAGTTACACATATCTATGAATTATTGAAATTCGTAATGACTTGTGTTTCCGTTTTTAGCTCGCAAAAATGAAATAAGTTCCTCTTTAATAGTAGGTTGAGGCGCCGGCCCTTTCTTTTTGTTTGGAAGGGGCGCAAACTCCTTTGGTTTATCTTCCTGTCGAGGGGGAATTGGTCTTGGTGGTTTACTGTTATCAATAACTGTAACTACCGAAGTTGTTTCAGAGACAAAGGAATGGCGAGACGTTGCATCAATCGGCGAGGCGTCGCTAGCGATTGATTGAACCGAAATGTAGGGTTTTGGAACCCTCAGCAAATTTTCAAGCTGATGATTTTTCCGTCTCCACAAATTAAATACCGGAGATGAATCTCTTGAATACCAGTGGATGATTGGAACAAAATCATTTTCGCTTTTGAGGGATTCACAGAAATAATTGTAAATAGCACGAAAAATGGTTGGACAAGATTGTTTAAAAAGACTTATTTCAGAAGACGCATCACTAACAAGAAGATTTTTTGCAAGAAGAAGATGCAAGATGAAATCTTCTTCGTTCATGGATTTAAGGGTTTGAATAATCAAGTCATTTTTGACTCTATTTGGGTTGTCCATCGAAATAATTATACTGCGTCTTCTGCAATCACACTTTTAAACGAAGGAAAACGCAAATTGCGATTGAATCTGTTTTGGGGAATTTCTGGTGGTTGTCGTCTAGAGCTTCTCGGTTGAGAGATAATGACTTGCTGTGCCCGTCGATTATAATCCTCAATTTCATCGCCAGATTGCAGGTATCGACGAAATCGAAATAAGGAAGGACAACAGCACTTGAAGCATTTCTTTGACAAAGTTGCGGAGTATTTTAGTAATCCTCCGATTATAACGAGTAAAATAATTCCGACGATTACCCAAACAGCCATATTACTGAAAGGGCGAACGCTCGAAAGAGCGTTATCTACGGGACCATATCCCGTTTTTGCCTCAAATTGAAATTCTTTCGAAATCGACTCAAGATCTGTCTTGTTGACCATTTTTGTTACATCAAGTGATCGAAGCGTGTTTTCGAAATGATGTGCATTGACTACGAATGTCTTCGGATCGAAAGCCGAAAAATTTTGGTCGACGATTTCATTGATTTCGCGACTCTTCCCCCTGATAGAAAATTGGGCATTATTACATGAGACGGTCAACAAATGGTCAATTCTGTTAAAGACCGTTATGTTTGATTTATTATCTATCGTTTGTGAACCCATTGAGGTCGTGGGGATAATGGAAGTTGATTTTGAAGATCGAGCAATTGGAGTATGAAAATGGCTAACAATCACAAAATTCTCATTATTGGCGAAGATGCAATCAAGATTTGAATGGATAATTTCATGTTCACACGCTTTCGCCTTTTCTTGGGACAGGAGCGATGCAGCACATGCGTCCATTACTCTGTTAAAAAAGAGATCATCTTCACTGCAGAATGTGGACTTGATGAGCAAGTTCGTGCGACAATTATCAATGCTGAAAGCTTTGTTAACCCTGTTAGAAAAAGCAATTTGTTTTGGAGTGAGTAGTTTCATATAATAGTACTCTCCGTTTCTTGTCCCGATTGGAACTGGAAGACCAGTTATATCCAATGTTTGGGCAATCTCTTCCATTTTAGGGTTGTCAAACTTTAGTTCCAACAATATTGATAGTCGATGCTCATGGTCCAACTGTGGGCGGTATCTTACGGCTCTAACGGGAGTAATCTCCATGAAGTCCCGGCAAGCTGACTCGTATTCTGGATTTAGCAGCCTACAAGCGCCTATGACCGTTTCAATCGCTTTGTTGTTGGAAAATGAGGCTCTTGTCTTCAAATTCGCTATTTCCTGCATGATCGAATCCTTGAAATCTTTACACTCATCGTAGATTTGTTCTTTAAGTATTTGATCGGAGATAGCGCTGCTGGTTTTGCATTCCTTTGCGAGAGCCGCATTCACATCTGCATGTTCACGTTTGATTTGAACCTGGATTTTTGTAGCTCAGCGTTTGTGCGATCGCTCAACTTGGCCATAAGAAGCTCGTCATGAGCGATTTTGTTCTCAGTCTGCTTCCTATGGTGCAGCATTTCGACTTCGCTGGTTATACCGCCAATAACAGCTGTTGCTAGGCCGATCGCAAGAGCAACTGCTTGGCGTCTTTTTCGACAGTGTTTTCCTTGACAAGTTGTCGAGTCATCTGTCGAGTATTCCGTATAATCGCTTGACGTGTAGCTCTCGTCGAAGTAGTCTGATGACTCATCCGAGTAAGTGCTATAGTATTCATATTTGTCAGGAAATGGAGTTACTTCCAAATTATCACCGAGAGCTGTAGTTGCTTCCAGATTGTCTCCAAGAGCAGTAGTCGCTTCCAGATTATCGCCAAGAGCAGTAACGTAAGTTGTGGTTTCCACCTCGATTTTGGGGCTCGAGTGGAATCCATTACTTTACTTATCTTTTCCTGATGTCGAATTTTATCGGAGTGCTGTAACCGATGAAGACCGTTAACGCGAAAATTTGACCGAAAGGCTTTCCGGCGAGAGTTCGTGGAAGGGATTCCACCTGAATCATCCGTCGAGAAAAGACTTTCACGAAGTTCGATTTCTGCGTCTTCGATGGTTATGTTTTTGAACGCAACCACCTGGAACAGTTTAAAGTTGAGGCACTCCGACGCAACATTTCGGGCCTGCTGGCCGAATTGCCATCTTTCATTTGTAATATCGTCAAAGTGAACATCAATGATGAAATTTTGCAGAGGTTTTGCATCATTTGGAACTGTAAATGAGCTGTTAATTTGGAGCTGTTTTTCAACTGTTTCTTGAAGTGCGCCTTTGATATTGAATAAAGTGTACGAATGACGCGAATCTGGGATGTCAAGAGCTGTGAAGTTTTGTGAATAAATTTCTGATTCGCTTTCTTTCGCGGCAGTCGCGTCAAACATGATATAGAAGTTGACATGACTGACCGAGTCTTTCGAAAATTGAAAGATGACTCCATCTACGTCTTGGTCCGCGAAAATGGAAAATTTGAAGGTATTCCATTTGGTGTCAAGCGCACAATTGTCTCCAAAGGACTCGAAGGTCTGCGAATTACCGTCGAGAACATTATCTAATTGCCCGACTTCCGATTTTGTCGGTCCGCCAGTGTATGTGCCATAAACACTTGATAATGTCACTGGTTTATGAATAAGTGGTAGATTGAGTTTTCTGTGAATCTCGCTAAATTCACCTGGATGTAGCAGGGAGACATTCGTTTCGAGATTTATCCAGTCGACTATCAAAATATTGAGATAGTTTTTGGCTTGCAAATTCATGTCTTTTGCATCCTCATAACAAACGATGTCGTTCTGCTTACATTTGGCAAGTGGGGCGAAAATTCTATGTTGAGGGTTGTCTGCTGATCCGAATCAACATAGAACGTACTTTTAGTAGAGTTGAATAAAAATATTCCGAGTTTTTGAAGATCTGCAGTGCTTGTGTCAATGTTTCGTATGAAGAGCAGGAGAAGTTGTAGTAGTAGTGATGTTCTAATGACGTTTGCGCAGGTCATATCGAGGAGATTCGTCTTGACTTAGTGGGGAATAATCTATTTCGAAAGGTGTTATTGCTTTAGTGTCGATGGGAAATTCCGTGTTGTAGATTTCTTTTGAATCTTCGTCGATAAAAATATTTTCTTTTTCAATAAATATTCTCGATCCTTTTCAGTTAAGTCAAGTTTTATCAAAAACTTGCCCGATCGATTTAGTTTGTTTTTATCGAAAATGTGAGAAATACCAAAGGTATTACGTTTCCCAATCGTCTGGATCTCGAATGGTCCTCTGTTAAAGCATCCATGGCCAATCGCTGGCGTTGGATCTCGAATCATAACAAAATCGCCCTTTTTCAGGGTCCCTTCCGTAACATTTGATTCAAGGAAGAATCTTGATAGACTCTTTTCCGCTTGATCAGTATGCAAAGATTTTATATATTGCATATGAGTCTCGTAGACCTCTAGATTATTCTCATCGTTATTCTCTTTTGGCATTTCCACACTTAAATTCGAGAAGTAACTCGGAGGCGCTTTGTTGTACAACACCCCAAGGGAGTTCTGCCAAAGAGTCCACTGCTTGGGCGCATGTTGTAGACGTAAGTCGCAAGCATAAATTTGTGGACGATGTTTGATGGTTTTGGGTCATATGATTCAAGAATTGTGCGAATCTCAGGATGTGAGCGTCTACCCTGTTCGCTTGACATTTTCGGGGAGAAATTCTGCTATGACTGACTGCTAATGATGTAAGAAGAGTCATGACTTCTTCTTGGAATTCAGGGCCACTGTCTAGAATCATGTGGCAATTCCCAATCGCGCCTGCTTCATAGATGAGTTCAGTGAGAGCGGGGCAGATATGGGGTGCTTTGAGTGACCGGACATGTCTTGCTGTTAGCCGACGGCTAAATCCGTCTAGGAATGTTAAAAAATAAAATTTCTTTCCTTCGCAGACATAGTGCATCGTGTCAGCATAAACAGCCGAGTATGGACGTAATGTCGGCTCGAGCTTCTGCTTGACGTCCGCAGTCTTGTAGCGACGGTGAATATGATTGCATCTGAGGCAACTTTTAACACATGCTTTGACATGTTTTCCCTTTTGCTTAAAAGAAAATGTTCATTCTTATTAAGGTGCTGGAGAAAGGGTTTTTCTCCGATGTGAAACAGAGCTTGATGAAAATAATTGATGATGTCTATGGTAAGGCTTTCCGGCAGGGGTCTGGATTCGCTTTGCGAATTCGCTCATGAGCGAAGCGAAGCGAATTCACTTCGCTTCGCTTTCGCTTTTGTAATTTCAATTCGCTTCGCTTCGCTTTCGCTTTTTACCAAAAATTTTCGCGAAAATTTCGCTCAAAAGATAATTTAAATTGATTGATCTTATAATTTTATATATTGGCCTCCCCACAATCAATCCTGACATCACCATCTTCAATCCCGGCTTCAAAAACTTCGATCCTTGCTTTTCAGAAGTCGATCCTGGTTGGTTAAATATCAATCTTGGCATCTCCAGCATCGATCCCAGCTTCACATCAATCCCGGCAACACCGATCCGGGCGTCACTAATTTCAATCCTAGCCTCTCAGTCGTCAGTTCCGGCTTCTCAATTGTCGATCGTGGCTTTTTCAAGATTAGATTGACATTGGAGAAGCCACGATTGACGTTGGAGAAGTCGTAATTGACGTCGATAAACCCGGGATTGAGAATGGAAAAGCCATGATTGAAGTCGGTAAAGCCATAATTGAAAATGTTGAAAGCAGACTTGACGATTGATAGGCCATCATTGATAAAATATTAATGATATTGAAGAAGACATTATTGAAATATGTGAAGCCATGATTGGCATTGATGAAGTCAAGATTGACGTTTGAGAAGCCAAACAATGTTTAATTATCAATCTATATAAATTTATTCACATCGCTGTTTGCCCAAGATCTCCGTTTCCCATAGTAAGGTAAACGACGATTTTGGGAGACGGCGACTTGGGTAAACGGCGACGCGGGCAAACTGAGACCACCGTCCAAAAAGTAATAAAAATGAAACCATACTTGAAATGGACACTTTCTCAAAGGTTAAATATTTCCGGAAAATTTTCGCTTTTTTCGCTTTTTAGAAAAATTTTAAGCTTCGCTTCGCTTTCGCTCACGAAATTTTGATTCGCTTCGCTTCGCTTTCGCTAAAAATTTTTGAAAAATTTTCGCTTTCGTTTCGCTTTCGCCTTTCATTTTCGGCCAAAATCCAGACCCCTGTTTCCGGAATAACAACAAGTTTTTGTTACGGACCTTCTTATAGACAAGATCATTGAGCAAAAAATAATCGTTGTTTTTAGACTTGTTTTGCTCAATATTTTCTCGAATCCCAGATATTTCAGTGCACTTTTTCTGGGCATCGATGATAGCTCTGACATCGACTTTTGGTCTTGGAATCTGAAGCTTTAAGTTGTTCAGATGGTCACTCGATGAATTCTCTTTGGTCCTCTTTGGACAGAGAATTGAGGGATGGAAAACAGCTTTGTGGTCAATTTCAAAGATTGGATGTCGTGACAGATTAATACAAATTTTAATGATATCACTCGTGTTAGGTAGGTAGATAACTCTAGCACGAGAAAATTCCATGACAGAGCTGTAAGCTCGTCTTGCTCTTGTCCCGCTGCTTGGTTTAAGACTTGGTTTGCAGTGGAGATCTTCAAGTGACTTATGGTCAACTATGAAGATGAGCCTAGCATCCTTCGGAAGAAGGTCTTTGAATGAGTTGATGCCATGCATAAGGCCCACAAGTTCCCTTGCCCTTGCGGACAAGAATGTCTCGGGCTCTTCAAGAGCTTTTGACGAATATCCACAAACGCGAACGTTGCTGATTTCGTCATTGTCCAGCGTAAGGTTGCCAATAATTGCACCTGTCTGGAATTGACTTGTGTCGAGGCGACGAAAATGTGTTCATTTTCTTGCTCATCTGAAGGATAAACGAGATGACACACACCAATTCCGTTCTTGATGTGTGATTTAAGAATTTCGATATTGTCCTTCATGACTTCGGTCAGTTTAAATTGTCGCCCTTGAGAAATTGCCTTTGCAATTGGGGAGAGAAGTGCGGATAGTTTTGGGATGAGTCTACGATAATAATTAAGACATCCATTAAAACTCATCGCTTGTTTGGCTGTTTCTGGATTTTTAAAATTCAGAAGCGCCTCGACTTTGGCTTCTGGAGCTTTTATCCCTGACTCATCGATAACAAACCCGAGAAATTTCACGGATTTCTTAAAAATTCGCATTTCGCCAGGAAACTACGACGTTGAAGTCCTTTAGTCTCCTGAATATAGTTTCCAAAGTGCGAAGATGATTTCTTTCTGTCGAAACTACCAAGAAATCATCCTGATAATTGAAACAGAAGAAACTTTCCTCGTTACCTTCATTCTCGTACAAAATTTTATTTGCAAAAGCTTGAAAGGTGGAGGGCGCTGATGCCAACCCTTGGCACATCTTTCGATATTGGAGCTGTTTGTCTCCAAAGATAAAGGCTGTATACTCTCGATGCTTTTCACGAATCGCAAGAATATAGAAAGCATTTGCCAAATCAAGGTTGCAAAATACAATTTTATCCTTGGGAAATCTTTCTTACAGCTTTGTGATGGCCGTTGACAATTTTGCCAAAAGGGTTCGAATGGGAAGAGTGGGGAATCTTGGAAGGATCAATCTCGAGTTAATCGAATTTTCACCTCCCTCAGAATAATTATTCACTACTCTTAATTTCCCTGATTTCTTTACCACCGTCAGTAAAGGGCTGTTAAACCCACTAACGGTTGGTTCAAGAATTCCACTTTCTACCATTACCTTGAGCTTCTCTTCCACTGGCTCAATTTTGTGGGCATCAATCGGATAAGGCCGATGATAGACAGGAGTTATGTCTTTGAGCTTTATCTCACATAGATAATGCTTGGACAGACCTGTGTCTGATGCCGACCTTGACCAGTTCCAGCTATATTGGTCAAGGAGTTGGCGGAGACCTTTAACGTATTGAATCGGCGCGGTATTTGCGACCATTTCAATGTCGGAACTCATATCTATGTCCGCGACTAGAAGGTCTCGCCGCTTTTTCCATTTAGCAAACTCACTTTCATGAGTTTTTCTTTCACGCAGTGGTAAATCAGCTTTCTTTACCAAAAATTTAAGACCTGCTGAGGCATTTCCTCAGCTAAATCTGCAATAGCAGCTCCCTTTTAATAGCAACTGTATGATCATTATGGTTGCTGACCGACAATTGATCATGATTGCCGGTTAAAGTATATGTCTGTAGCGCCAAATTTCTTTCAATGAGCCCTTCGGACCCGATAAGATTTAACTCTAACGGCGCTTTATGTGTTTCGGTTCTAACTACTCGAATAAATTTGGTTTCATTTGGCCCAATAAAGCTAGTTTCCCTAGCGACTAGCGCAGACTTTTCCGTTCGTTTAACGACCTCTTCAACCTCCTCATTAAGGCACTTAATTTTCATTCGATTCAGAAGGAGAGGACTGTTTGTCGGTCCATTGAGGTTCAATTTAAAACGTTTCAAGACGTTGTATCCGAGAACAGCATTAAAATCGATTCGATTCTGCTTCGGAATGACCAACATCTCAATATCCGGAATAATTTTATTGTCAATTTTGATAGAACATGACAATTTCTCCGTTATACTACACATGCTGCTCCCGAAGGCGTTGGTGAGTGCAACCGAAACCTTTGAAGTTTTAAAATTGGTTGGGACCATGTTCCTAC